AAAAAAAACATGTTTTCATAAAAGAACTATAATAATGTTGGAACTTTATGATACTAAACTTAAATTGTTATTTGTTTACATTGTGGCAGTCGTTGTGAAATAATGGAATACATAAAAAACTGGTCAAACACTAAAACGATATTATGTATGTAGCAATATCCACACAGAAGAAAAACAATATTAATATGTAATAATATTATACCTATCTTAAAATATTTGTAAAAACATAAATTTACTTTGAGGATAAATGTTAGTAATAATTTTAAGGGTTCTCTTTTTTAAACGTACACTATGAATTATAGCCATTTAAATAATACTGGGATTTCACAAAAGACATTACAACAATTATTTAGAAACTATTTTAGAGCAACAAAGAAAATAAAAACTAAGATAAGCCCAAAGTAAAGAATGAAGAAAACAATGTTTTAATTAATAATTATTAATATTCGAACAATTCACATCACTTGTATAGTTGTATCCGATAGTGGGCAAAATATTAATTGTAATTGATTTTAAAAAACATCTGTGAGTAAGGATGGGAGGGTTAGTGCAGTTAGGAAATGCGCGCATTTAAAAATAATACTGCACCCCACCTTTACTCCTGCCCTAAACTTGAGACTTCGAGTTCCATTTAAGTTGCTATCAAAGAAACTAAGTTGATATATTCTAAGTTGATCACCTTGTTTTATCACAAAACATAATAATATTAATAATATTATTTCACCCTTTTAGTCATAAAAATACATGCAGAACCCTTATAAGTTTCATCATTAATATAATATGCATTCTACTTGCGTTATAAAGTTTATTTCAACCTTGTTTTAACACAAATTGTAAACGATTTATTTTCTTACATTATAATATACAATATATTTTCAACTATTTCTATAATTTTATTTTCTATCTTAGGTATGTTAAGAAAAACAACATATTTTGTTTTGCAGTTTTTTTTTTGTATTTATATGTTTGACCAATTTTACTCGTATTTCTTGCACGGTAGCATCTTGATGCTTCAATAATTATATATAATATAAACAGTGTGATTCTGTTATCATAAACCACTCAATATCTTATAGTGTTTAATTAGAAATTAAAATATTTTTTTTGATATTGTGTCATATTTTCATACAATGTGATCTCAAATATTCAAAATTTCTTTTGTTTTTTCCCCCTTAAAAGTTAATACTTTTTAAATAGAGAATAAAGTACTAAAAATGTTGACTGGTCGATAACCAGTTTCGGATAGCTATTTTTGAAGTTATAAGAGATTAAAAGTTAGAATAGAAAGGGAAGTGGGGTTTAGTATTATTTTTATCTGCGAACATTCCCAACCGCACTTTCCCTCACATCCTAGTTTATTATTCTCAATATAAAAAGGCTATAAAATATATACGTTACCATTTATGTTTCAAAAGTTGCTATCAAAAAAACTAAGTTGGGAGTGGAGTAAAAACAAAAATTGTGACAAATTGAGATCTCATTGTATACGAACAATATGAAAAAAAATATTTTAATTTCTTATAAAACCATATGAGATATTGAGTGGTTCATGATAAAAGAACCACCCTGTATAATAATTGGATTGTAATTCCTACTTTTGTCGATATCCAATAATGTACAATACCTAAATTATAATTACTTCCATAATATGGGCGTACATTGGCTTTTGTGGTTCTCCCCAAAGGGGGTCCCCTACGACCACGGACCGACTAGTAGCGCTGAGCGCTAATTGCGGGCCGGGGAAGGTATGTCGCAAGAGAAGTGGTCCCATAGAAGGCCAATTAACGTTCGGCTCAACGTCACTTTAGTCGCCTTTTACGACTGGTGTAAGGCCCTTGGAAGAATTCTTTCTCCCCTGTCCACAGGGATAAAACTTCTATAATATAATTGGGTGCTGTGATATTTTATCTTTGTATTTTTACGTTTTTTGTTTTTGGTATTTTGAGTATTTTACTATGACACATGGTTCTACAGCGCAAGATAATAAATAAATAGTTCAAACATTTAAATACACAAATAACATAACAAAATACTTTTAAAACCAACTTGTTTACGAAAAAAAAAAAATTTCTGTAATAGTAGATTTCGTAATGTATATTGTTAAAACTTGGTAATGTATGATACGGTAAAACTTGTTTTCGATAAAAAAAAAAAACTATACAAATTTTTTTTGTTAAATACGAATACCTATAGAAACTTACCATTTGTTTACATTACAACAATGGCTGTGAAAAACAACTTAGTTTTGATAAAAATAACAATAATACAAAATTGGATTACAATTTACACTATAAATGATTTTACAAAAACTCCTTGTAATAAGTTATAATTATAAAATATTTCCAATTTAGAAAAATGAAAACCCTATTGTTACAATAATTAAAAATAAGTTTTTTAATTTGCATTAAAGGGGAACGGAAAGCGCTATTTATTAACGGGCAAAGGATAAGCAATATTTGACGCTTATCGTTATTATAAATAACGAACTTAATACCTACTACCACTTTTCCTTAGACATCTTGAAATAATAATCAAAAAATTACAAATAAAATCTTTACTGATTTAGGTAATATATATTTTCTCAACCAGTGATTTAAAATTAATAGCACCCGGTTATTATATTGTGTGTTGTAGTCTGTAGGAGGAAAGTGCAGTATTAGTTTTATCTACGCGCATTTCCCAACCGCACTTCCCCTCCTATCCTTACTCTAAATTCTTAAAACTTTAAAAATAGTCACGGTAATATTGTCCATAAAAACCGAAACAATTAATCCAAAACATCCCAGTTGTTTTTTAAAATCAATTATAATTTATATTTTGTCCATAATTGGATACAACTATACAAGTGATGGGAATTGTTTCAACATCAAAAATTATTAATTTAAAAATTGGACTTTTCTCATAGTAGAACAACTTTATATTAAACTTAATTTAAGAAACTTATCACACGAAATCACGGAGGTGGCTGTCCATCATTCGATGTTATTTTAAGTTTAAATGTGTATGTGTTACGTAAAAAAAAGTCCACATCATTGTAAAACCAATAGCATCTCTGCCTTGCATCGAAGCTAAAACATTTTTCTAGATTTTTGTGTAAAAGACTTCATAAGTGGTCAAATTATATGATTTTGGGGTCGGTGTTTGCGAATTTAATATCAGTTTTTAATTTTACTCAACCAGAAAAAACTAAGTAAAATAAAAAAATGAAATTAAAACCTAAAATGGCATTTGAGTATGACAACTTAATACTGTCATTCTGAATGATTCGTAATGATTTTATAGAATTTTTCTAAGATTTCAGGTGTATATGTTAACGTATACGAAATCTGGGAAAAGCACAGTTTTCTGGCAATTAAAGTAAAATTGTAGTCTCGAATTTGTTCTCCGTTTAATATCATTTTAATCCTAAAATTTCAGTCCTAAAAACTGACAAATTTTCAACCTTTAGGACTTCAAAAATAAAAAAACATGCACCCCTTCTAGGGAGATGGAAAATGAGTATAATTTAAATTTGAGACTACTGACGTGTGGGGGCATGCAAAAAAAATATTCCTTACAAATTTCAACTCGATCCGACTCTTTTTCTCGACATTATAGCCGGTAAAAGATCAAATTTTAAAACTCACGTGGTTTCTTTTTTAATTTTAACTGTGACTGAGTAATCTTTTTCAACTTCTATCCCTAACAAAGTACCAACCAGATGAAACTTTTGATTTATAGAGTTGCTACTCGAAGGAATTGTCCAGTATTAAAAAAGTTACAGTGTATACAGACAAAAAAAAAAAAGCCCACATTATTGTTAAACCAATCCCCAACAAAAACCTAACAGTGAAAAAAGGCCCAGTTCCAGACCCCCTCCCAAAAAAAGGCAGCCTATTAAAGTAGAGATATCTACATTGTCGCCAAGTCTGCTATTTTTTTAGTTTATAACCACACTTCACTCCTACTTTCATGAGCAGTGCTGATCTTTTATTTGTATTGATAACACTTGACCAGTTTCTGAATTAAGCATTTGTCAGGTGCCTGACATTTTTGGAAGGGGGTCTGGTACTTCGCCTTTTTTCACTGTTAAGTTTTTGTTATGGATATCATTCCTTTTTGCAAGCATCAGTGTCGTAGGCGAAGTTTTCTTTTAAACGAGGCATTGAATGGATATTGAACGTCGTAGATTTTATCTTTTTTATACGTGTTATTATATTAACTACGTAGATATGTACTTGAAACTGAAAATTAGAACCAATCAGGTCACCGTTAGGGATTGAACTTTTTATTAAGTTAAGACAAAGCTTGATAAAACATCCAAGGGTGATGTGCATAAGGGGGGACATGAGATACATTAAAGCCGTAAGAAGCAGTGATTTAGGTACTAGTTATATCAATAGGTATTATTGGTATTTATTAAAACGACCAGGGTGATATTTGGTAAATGTATTAACTACCTAAATCCACATGTAGATTTTAAAAAGAAATACAGAACTTGATAAGCCAATTTCCAGTTCAACAATGAAAGATATAGACTTTTGAATTTAGGATAAAATAATTGCAATGGTCATTAACTGCTCTGCCTAGTACACCAAAAATCTATTTTGGGTAATATTTTGAGTCCAGACAAAATAATGAAAAAACATAACATATTATTGTAAAAACAACATTTCAGTCAAAACCAAATAACGGGGTTATTTTTTTTTCTCCCAAATTCAAAAGAAAATGTTTTACGATTTGTGATCAAGATATTTTACTTGATATCACATTAGTTTAACAAAGCTAATTATAATGATACGGACAATAAAAAAAATCCATCGTTGTAAAACATTTTTTAACCAAAAAAAATATTATTTGATCAAAATAAACACCGTATATTTTGTTTGTTCACAAGATATTATGTTCACAAAAAACAACTATTGTACAAAAACAATCGACTTAATCGTCAATAACATATTATTACCCGTACTGTAAAATAGCATTATTATAATATACGTGTTATTCTTCGAAAACTCTCTAAGAAACCAAGTTCTGTATAGCATTATTAAGCAATTTTTTTTTGTTTCGTTCGATTCAAGTCTATAAAGAAGAAACAATGAATGCAAAATACATAATATTTATATGTTTTGCAATGAATTACTTAGTAATTCTAAGTGTTGCCAATGGCGATAAGGAGAAAGAGGTAATCGTATCTTTTTTGTTAAAAGACAGTATAAATCTTATAAATTTGAATTGTTTCTTTTTTTTTTTAATATTGCTATTGATAGCAAACTAATGTAATAGGCAAGTTGCTCTATTATGTCTTTATAAAGTAATTTTTAAAATCACACAAACTTACATATTAATTTTCAAACTTGACAATTTTAGTACAAAACTATTAGAAAAAAATATACCTATCCATAAATCATAATGCACCATTTATTATTTGAAAAATTATGAATTTCTTTCAATTTCCTAAATTAATAAGTAAATTAATAAATATATATTTTTTTTAAATTTTGTATTAAAATTATCATGTTTGTATTGTTTAAATAATATTATATTTGATCAATTATATAGTAATACAATTTTTAAATATCTTTGGGTCATTTAATAATTATTTAAAAACTACTTGTTTCACTACACGAATACCTAATTAATTGGGTTACTTACAATTATTTAGATAAATGCAAAATATGAAATCCGTGGTTTTTTTATTTTGTAAATCAGTTTCTTAACGCAACATTTTTTTAAAAATAAACCGTATTTTTAATGTACCAAAAAAAATGGTTATAGTCATAACTGTTGCGTTCTGCATATTTTTTTTTTTATTCAAATAATACAAGGTGAGATTAAGTATGTAAAATTATAATCTCAGAACATTTTAGACCAATAGCAGAATTTTTTTTCAAAATCTTGTTAATGGTTATAACGCATAAGTCGACATAAACTTTATAATATCACGTTGTCTTAACCTAATGATTTTTAATGACAGCTTTCGAGATTTTATCCGCTAACACTAAACGTGTACAACGAATTAAGAAAGTTTTTCATACTTGGTTCTGGAGAGAATCTTTCTGTGCATGCATTACACGTGCTTTGGAGTGACACAGGTTATATTATAGAAAAGTATTTATCTCCAGCGGATATTGCCACTATAAAAGAAAGTAATTATAAAATATATTACCTTTATCGTAAAATATTAGTTTTCTTTGGTTTCGAGGCACCAAATTGTATACAGTTGGTTTCTGGCCAACTCTGCAACTACTGTACCCACACACTCTACAATAATGTAATATGTATATTATAACTATTCGTTTTTATATTGTTTTAGAAGGCATAAGTGTAGAACACTTTGGGAAAATTAACTGGGAAGTTTGTAAAAGCAATGTCCAAGACTATGAACCATGTATGAATCAACGGTTATCGTTTATGCAGAACCTAAATCAAAAGATGATAGAGGCTAATAATCATGTTATATGCCAAACGGTAAAGAAAATTTTTTTTTTTCAATAAAACTATAGTATATAATTTAAAAATGTATAAATTACTTTCAATTCGCTATTTTAATAAGAGGTTCATTATGAATTCATTTTTTTCTAATAGTTTTATACTACAATTATCATGTTTGAACACGAATTAAATACTTTTTTATATATATATATATAACTAAATAGTTTTAACATTTTTAAATACAATTAAGGTCAGCTAGTAATTATTATTTTTATTTTTTGTAATAGCCTTTATTGTAACAATTTTTTCATTGTAAAAATGCTTAATTATTGAGTAACTTACAGAAATGTAGGTATGAAAAATGTAAAATCCGATGTTTTTTTTTTTTTGTATATCAGTTTCTACAGCCAAAATTTAAAACTATTCTTATATTAATATGAAAAAAAATGGTTATTGTCATTACTGAGTTCTGCTTATTTTTTTTTTTACAAACAATACATGGTGAGATGAAGTATGTAAGATTTTATATGTAAGACAAACTAGAATATAATAATATAATCTCAGGAGATTTTAGACTAATAGTAAAATTTTTTTTTTTTTAAATCTTGTTTATGGTCATAACGTTAAGACATTTTTAACGACAGACTTCGACATTTTTTCAGCTTATACAATCCGTTTTCGATGAATTAGTAGAGTTCCTAGATGATCCTACACTTAAGAAAATTGGTGTGCATGAATTAAACTTGCTTTGGCATGATTTTGGTGTCACTATGAGAGCTAATTTCACACCCGATGAATTGACACGAATGAATCGAGGTAATCATAAAATATATTTACTCTATCGTGTAACAATAACTTTCTTGTGTTTCGAGGCACCTTGATTTGATGCAGTTGGTTTCTGGGTATCTCTGCAATTACTACTGTTTACACTCTTAGAACAGTATAACTTGTAGGTATATTATAATTATTGTCCGTTTTTGTATCGTTTTAGATCGCATAGATGTAAAAAAATTTGAGGAAATCACCAGGAAGACTTGCAAAACAAACTATGTAACATTCATGGTTCAACGGTTTTTGTTTTTACATGCCGTAAACAAACCATTATATAAGGCTGCAAGATTGTAAAAGAAAATGTTTTTTTGTTTTTTAAATAAAAACTATATTATATGAAATATGTACTTTAGTTATTTTACCCGGTCCTTTTTAATCAAATTATTTAATTGAGAAAATGTTAAGACCTGAGTAAGAATTTGTAATAATAAAATATATTAACTCTATTGTGTAATAATAGTTTTCCTTGGTTTTGAGGCACCAAGTTTTGTTGCATTTGGGTTCTGGGCAATCTGCAATTACTACTGTTTACACTCTGTAACAATATAATAAGTAGGTACCTATATCATTATTTTTGTTCGTTTTTGTATCTGTTTTAGAGGGCATATATATAAAAAGATTTGAGGAAATCACCAGGGAAATTTACAAAACAGACTATGTAAAATCCATGGCTGAACGGTTATTGTATGTAAAAGCCCTAAAAAACCATTTGAAAAGTCTGTAAAATCGTAAAAGAAAATGTTTTTTAAATAAAAACTATATTATATTAATTATGTACTTTAGTTATTGTATCCGGTCCTTAAAAATTAAATTAATAAATTAAGAAAATGTTAAGAACTGAGTAAGAATTTGTACTAATAGTTTTTTTTTTTTTTTTAATTGTGTACCGAAATGTGAAGAAAAGATTTTTTAACATTCTGAGTTTTGTACTGTGTTAGTACAATCATTTATCATAGTGAGCTCTTTCTAATACTTTTTCTATGATGGTGTGAGTGCGAACGAAAAGACAAAGTCTGAAAGCAATTGCTTTGTACATGCAAAATATTCTAATATGACATTTACTTCAAACAGTATTCGAAATTCGTAATTGTTGATCACTTGACAATAGACTACCAAGTTTAATAGTGGACAGATAAATGTATGCTATTATTTTGTGTTTTAATGTTAAGTATCCAACAAAATCAAAACTATGTTGTTATATTGCTGAAATATTAAAAAAGATGGGGGGGGGAGGTGAAGGGGAATGAAACTTCACATAAGACTCAAAACCGGTTTAATGTAAAATGGTACATCTGTGCAGTTGGAAAATATATCCCTACAATAAATCCTTTACCTGATGGAATACAAACTTTTTTTCCCATAATAAAAAAAAACCTCGTATTCTATCGATTTTTGCGAATATAAGTTGGTACAAACCCAATTAGGTATCAAGTAGTACAATTTTACATGAATGGGGTTGAATAGGTATGCAAATATATATTATTACAGCAGTGTTCTTATTACTACTTTCAAAATAAGTATGTCCTATAAAGAGTGTATAAAAAAGTTATTAACAAAATAAAACTGTTAAAATGCAACTACTTGAAAATACCTTTAACCGTGTCAAAGCCTCGTCGTTACAATGAATATTATACGATAATACAATAATACGATATCTATAGCTTTAGATACTGAGCTAGGTTTTCTGTGATTTAGTTTATATTACCAATTACAATACATACATATTTTATTCGGTACCTATATTCACTTTATTACTTAAATACCTATGACGAGAGATAATTTTTCTACTAAAACAACAATTTGGAGCATTACGCGTGACGGTAAAGGGTCGATGACTTTTTTATTTTTGGCTGTGACTAATTGAGCTGGTAGGGCTAAACTTATTAGTAAAAAAAAAAAAAAAAAAGAAACCCTTTAAGGATTATTGACTAACTAAACATTTTTTCTTTATATATATAAATTATGACAATTTTCAAATAACAAAACACTAAACATTATTATTACAGAAACAGTGCTCTGATCAGGCACGTTGTTTCTTTTGGGTTTCTTCTTCGTCGTCCGAATCAGAATCGGTTTCGTCGTCTTCTTTGTCTACGGAATAGGCAGACAGGTCGATGTTGAACTTTTCAATGGACGACGGAGTCTGGGCCAAACATCTGGAAAACGGCAATGATTTTTTTTTATTATTATTATTATATTAAAAATAAACATATAGTTTTATTATTACGTATATGTTTTATAATACAAAATACACAATAAAATCTAAGCAAAATTGTTTTTGACAAAAATTTTATGAATAATCAACAAATTCACTGTTTCGAGTAATTCTTATTCGAGTAACAATTTTTTTTATTTAATTAAATCAAATTATTTTGACTTAGAACAAAACTTAGTGAAAAAAATCTATCTTATAGTTTTTTTTTTTAAAATTGTTTGGTGCACAATAGAGTTTTATTATTATAATTTTCTAATTTACAAGTAATTAACGTAAGAAGTGCACAAAAGTGCACAGAAGTGAACGTAACAACTTGCGTTTGAAAAGATTATATACTTTCAGTATTACTTTAAATTTATAACGTCGCTTATTGTCGTAGTTATTATTATTATTATTATTTTTTTTTAACAATTTGTACTAAATAATATTGGGTTTTGAAACATACTTTGGTAATATAATTAAACATTTAAACGTTAAATCGAGACAGAAAGTTGGTCTAAAAAAACATATTAAATTAGTCACCGAGTGATAAACGGCGTCGGTTCGTTTCTTTTAGGCGCTTTTGTCATTACATCATTGAACAAAGTTTTAAAATTGTCTTCTAAATGTTTGATGTCGTCCGAAATCTGTTAACAAGAGATAAACAATTTTTATTACGATACGACACGTCATGGCAAATTTTATAAAAACAACAAATAAATACCTGGCCGATTGTCATATCCACAACTCCTAATGCTTCGTCATACGGATCGACTGTCATATTATATCGCACACCTTTGATGTAATGCTTGATCATGGCTATCAAATCGAGCGTTAATGCACCTGCAATATTGTGTATTACACGCAATAATATTATATTATAATCATTTTTTTAAGTAAAACAATAATAACATCAATTAACACGAGTCGCGTGCTCAGGAAAAACACCTCAGTGCGAGTTTGTTCCGTAGTTTCCTAAGCGAGCGTCACGCATTATGATGTACGCTTAAAACAAACCGTTTTGAAGGGTAGGATAACGTCTTCTTAACAGTCCTCGTATAGCGGACAATTCGGTTAAAATATCAGGATGCGCCAGCACGTATTGAAAATCTGGTAACATTATGAGTCCCCTCTGGAAAAAGAAAAAAAAAATTGATTATTATTTGCTTCGCTTTGCAAAAATACGATATACAAATAATAATAATGATATAAATATCAACCTCTATTTGTTTAATAACGTCTTTTCCGCCGACTAACATTGCACCTGCACTTCTTGCTTCTTCCATCATTTCGGCGCTCTGACAAAACGCCAATATTGTTCGGTCTTCGCCGTGGTCGTATGGATGCGGCAAACCAATGATTTGACTGTACTTGCTGACAAATTTATTTTTTTTATCGGTCGCCAAGTCAATTTCCAAACGAATGTTCAGCGGCGCGTCAGGAACATTCATCATCGACGGGTGATGGAGTTCGCGGTGAGCCAAAATAGCGTCTACAAGATTGTATCTAGAAAAAAAAACAACCTAATTATCTGTAAACAAAAATAAATTTTAAAGTTTAACGATCGAGGTTCTTACCGACGCATTTGGTAAAACATTCCGTGGTAAACATTATCGGAAGGCACTCGCCAAAAGAATCTTTCGATGGTACGACTCGATTTACCCAACTGCCTGTAAGAAGTCATTAAATTATAAAAAGGTACTAAACACTGTTAAAATTATGAGAGTTAAAACTATTTTCATTATGGACTCCCATATTAATTAAAAACATGTAATGTCGTATGAACACATTACACGTCACATTTATAATGTAAAAAAAATAAAATATATAAATAAAACAAACATTTTTTTAAAAAATACTGTTCAAAATGGAAAACTGCTATCGTAAAAAGTATGCGGTGACATAATTGAAATATTTAAGACCGAAGCAATGTATGAAACAGACTTACTTTTTTTTAAGTAAGGGTATATATTTTCTAGCCTTTGCCAAATTGGCCGCTTTGTTTTTTTGATGTATTTTGGCCTTTCTTTCTCTCGTGCCCTTACGAGCTCTGTATCGGACAGGCATCACGGAACCAACGGTCGGCAAGGAACGCAATAGATTACTGAAACCTGAAAAGCACGAGAAAAAAACAAAACGATAATAACGAATAAGTAATATAGCAAAATAGTTTTGTGAACGTTTTCGACTTTAAAAAAACTCACTGAACATTTTATATTTTGATTTGCCTTATCGAATTACAATGATTTTTTGTGAAATGAAAAATATTAACAGTACGTTGTTTTATACTTATAGTAAATATTTCTTTTCTATTGTATTTTACAAATTTTAAACAACTTTGCAGAACATTTTTTTGTCGGTTTACTTAAAAAATTAGAAACGCAAAACATAAATCATTATCAAGAAAAAAAATTTCAAAAATGTTACAATGATATTTTATGAACATAACCTCAATTATAAATATTATGCAATTGATAACACACTTTATCATATTATCGGCGGCTGTTATCATTGATAACTCATCTAACGGTTTATAAGTTTCAGTTGATCTTGTCAACAACAAAGCGCGATATAAAAAGGAGTAAGCACTAGGAATGATAATTAGCATGGATTAAAATATTATTTATTTACTCGGTATACTTATTGAGTTTTGTTAATTTTTAATTACACATAGGCACAAGTGTATTTTGTCTTATTAATAAAATTCTTAATTTTTTTAACGTGTAAAACTCGGTAGTACAACCTCACAATTTAGCATTTCTATGGATGTGAAAAAAAAATGTTTAATTGTATTGTAGTTCTTAATGTTGACATGGCTCTTCAGTTTTATTTGAATATTGTCCAAATTTTAACAATTTAATTTAACAACTTAAACAGCATGCCTACCAATCTGAAGGATAAATGAAAATAAACGACAATATATTATATGGTATAAACAAACTATACGGTGGGTAGGTAATGAGAGTTAATGAAAAGAAAGCATTGAGATTGATTGTAATTTGTAAATTTGTTTGTAATTACAATTTTTAAAAAGAGACTATCAAATTTCTTCGTAATATTGTTGATTAAATATTTAATATATTATTTCAACTATGATAATATGGTAAATTGTCAAAACACTTCTCTTGAGTCCAAACAAAACATTGTTTATAATTGTTTAGAATTTACCAGATTTAATGAGGTTCAGCAAGACAAGAAATCGTTATTGACATTTGTTATTTTATTAATAACATAATAAAAATACATAATTGGGTTCATTCATTGATCATTCATTTGATCCATTTATTTCGTCTATTGGGGACGGATCATATAATATAGTGGTAGCCGTTGTACCCATTTATCATAATCAACAACTAACAAGCAATGAAAATATTTTTATTGACTGTAGATTCATTCACACACAACCATCTAAGCTAATTAACTGTGTTGTACATTTTTCGTTACTGTAATGCAACGTCGCAACGTCTACCTTTTCATAATATATTATGTTTATTATAAAATCTATTGTTAAACAAAAAAGAATTAAACAGTCAACAATAGTTTAGACAGGACTTCTAGGTATAATATAATATAGCGAGCATGCAACTACGCCGCGTAGTCAGGTACGTAGTTTAATAATTCCCGTTGGTCTCACGAAAAGAGCAAACCACACAAAGGACGTTTGTAGTAATATAACACCAGTTAAGTATAAAAAAAATTAAAAAAATTTTTTTAATAAAATCAAAAGATAAATATGAACGGGCCGACCGGAATGGGAAAGGCCAAACGGCGGACTGCCATTACTGAATCGTTGACGAAACTGGCGAGGACCGCTTTGATTTATCCGGTGCGGTTTGGCGGATCGACGGCCACCGGCGCCGAAGAGTTCAGTCCGAAGCTCTATGCGTTCAACGTGTGCGCGATAATCGCGTTGGTGATTTTCGGTTATTGGTCGTTGCTGGGTGAACTCAATTCGTTTGGAAAGGGCCAGTCCGTTCGCTTCAAGAACGTCACCGTTGCGGCGGTCGCGAGCCTCAGTTACACCATGATTGCATTGTCTTGCACCATAGCCGTGGTCGGGTCGGCGTCCCGGCAGACCGCTTGGCTGGACATCGAGCGTTTGCTGGACCGCGTGGACGAGGCGCTCGGCAAACGCGGATGCACGGCGGCCGACAAACGCGTCGAGCGGTGTACCGTCTAGCTGGTTTGCTTTCAAGCGGCGTTGTTTGCAGTCGACTACTATACCTGGCTAAAGGTCGATTCGACCAACGAAAGCTACTGTGTAGTCTATATATTTGGTCACGTCAACCTGGTGTCGTTGGTTATGTACGCGCAGTTGGCTTGGTGCATAGGTCGTCGGTTCGACATTATCAACAGCGAGATCGAGGCCATGCTCGAACGGTTGACGTCGACAGACCGCGTCGAATTCCCAAACCGACGATACCAACACTTATCTTATCTGCTCCATTGCTCCAACAGCCTCACTAAAGGTGGGCACTCAATACAGACTTTTACAAATTTTCCCTTAACTATAAGTGGCAAATTCTTGCCGTCAATCGATTTTTGTATGCCAATCATTAAAAATATTTATATCAGCATTTTAGCATTTTAAATGTTTGCATAATTTATTTTCAGACGTGAAATATATTCCTATTAAGACATTTCAAGAAACTTACTGGAGTCTCTGCTACAGTGTCAACATTTTAAACCACCAGTACGGTTGGCAACTATTAACGATTTTATTGATGAATATAATAAATCTTATAATCATTCCGCATTACCTATTGACCGGTGTTTTTAATATGGTGTCGCTTGGGCCACAAAACTACGTATTCGCAATTGGCCTCATCGGTTGGATTTTTTATCACCTATCATTTTTATTTTTTATGGTGCTGCCCTCGTCGTACGCAGCCTCAAAAGTATAGAATTCAATGACACCTCAAAATATCGAAATAACCACTGTTATTGCTTTTTACAGGCCGAAACAACAGCTCTAATCGTATGTAAACATCTAAACGGTTGTTTTGTACCGGACGACTTTAAACAGGTATTTAAAGTAGTAGAAAATAAATATAAATTCTCACCAATAGGCGTGCTAAAGTACCTACTTTGCAGAAAATAACGACCCACAATGTTGAATTAATTTCAAAAAAAATATTTCAATGTTTTTAGGTTAGATATTTTAAGTTCTGAATTTCCCCAAAAAATCTTCCTTTTGCTATATCTAAATCCCTTTTGAACAAAAATATGACTATTTGGACTATCTAATAGACGCTTCTTTATTGTGTTACAGTTAGAACTATTTGTACTTCAATTGCACAAGCATAAGGTTCATTTTTCAATTTGTGGAATCGTGGATTTACAAATATCTACAATAACAAAAGTAGGTGTACACTGTTTTTTTTTTATTGATATAGTAATGAATAAGTTAAGGCAGACTACCGACGCGTAAGAAAAGTGCATTCGGACTATTACATTTTAATATCTCTGTATTAGGAGTCTAATCAGAAATATTTATCAACTTTCTGGTGGACTTTTAAGGTGGATTGCAGACTTACAAGTTAATTGGACTCACTTTAGACGAACCAATTATGATTAATTTCCAGGTGATTGGGACTACCGTTACATATTTGCTGATTTTCATTCAATTACAAAACTAGTAAACGCACCGTTTCAATTACTCACCAACCTATAGTATGCAAAACATTGTACAATTACATTTTGGTCACCGGCTCCCTGTGGAGAACAGGGTGGTATTGCCCGTGTGTTTCGACCCGTGTCTAATAGTTATTATCGGCGATCTGCGAAGGCCACAACGAACATAAGGATACTTAAGTGAGGCAAAAGGCCTACATTAATACTGATGGTGTGCTGCGGAGACTTTAATAATTTGTACACACAAAGCACAATGCACACTAAGATTAAAAACATTTTTACATTCACTCTTGTGACCAGTCTCCCGAGTTTTTTTCTCTCAGATGTCAACTATTATATTTTGAAAAGGTGTACATCGATTCCGTCGGCTACTGTTCATAAAAACTATCTATCGACTTCGCCGACTACAAATTACAAACGAAAACAAACTTGTCGACAATTTGTTTGTCTATGGAATTAAATAATAACAATGTTTCTATGTTTACATAATATATAAACAAGTATACAAATATTACCAAAGGTAATTAATGTAAACGTTTTTAATTTTTATTTTATTAATAAAAATAATGTTAATCGTCCTTTTTATGATATCTATTTTATGGAATCTATAAAATCCCTTTAGTAGCTATAATTATAATAATATCCAATCAAAAAATTGAAAACCACTATCAAACATAATACTTTACCAGATATTTCCAGATATAATGGCCGTATAATAAAACCACTTATCAAATGACAGAAAATCGACACTGATGGACGACAAAATTAAAAAAATTAAATAGACAAAAATGTATGGATCTATAAAAAAAAATAAAATCATTAAAAAAAAATAAAAAATTGAATTTATAAATTTAAAATAAAACCAAAATAGGTTTCCAATTTATTGTTATTGTTTTTATAAGTATACAAAATGTTTTAATTTGTTTGGTGTCGTGTAGCACTGTTGTAAAAGTTAAAATACGCAAAAGAAATGTTTATTTAAATTAATTCAAAACAGATATAAACAAATCACTGAAAAATAATTAAAAATGATTAATGTGGGTATATTTCTTACTAAATACAAATTTAAACCATATGTATATAAATCGTTTCGTGTTATACTAATATCTTTAATTCGTTTTAGATGCTTCGACTAGACTTTTAACCTAGAAACATCAAACATAAAACGGTATTAAGTCAGAATAAGCACCATTTATTGTAAAAATGTATTAATCCTGGATTAATGATCTTGGATCACATTGTAAATCAGAACAAAAATAAAAAATGGCCTTTAAGCCCCAATATACAATATATTATGCCGAACAAAAAAAAACAAATGTATTAAAACCGTAATTAGAATATAATTTGAGAATAATTTCCGAATGTTTTATTTAGTAATTGTTTTTTTACGAAAATTTCGCTTTACCGTTCTGTCCATTGACTGTACATATTATGTTTATGACATACATTTTTAATGAAAGACTATCAGATTTCTACATAATATCATAGATTAAATATATTATTTTAACTATGAAAACATGGTAAACTGTCAAAACACTTGTGTTCAAAGGAAACAATACTTTTTGTTGTTTGGAATTTACCAGCAAATATGACGTTCAGCAAGACAACAAACTGTTATTGACATTTATTGTTATACCATTAAAAACCATAATTTATAAAAATATTACTGTAGCGACCTAAACTACCTTTTTATATTTTATTATGTTTATTTTATAATCCATTGTTAAACAAAAAAATTAAAAAATCAAAAATAGTTCAGACAGGTCATCTAGGTACATT